ATATATATATATATATATATATATATATATATATATATATATATATATATATATATATGTATATATATATGTATATATATATAAATTTCATATTGGGACTCTAGAGAAGTTGTTTTATTTTTATTGTAATTTGGGCCATAGAAATAGTTTTTTTTATGATCAAGCATGGAAATATTTCATTAATATTGTCACAATTGTTTTTTCAGCTGGTCTTTATTTTATGCTAGAAGTTTGTTATTTTTTTTATTATTTTTTTTTACCTATCTAACAAGTGTAAAATTGATTTCTATCATTTTTATGTTTTCAGTATTGGATTTCGTAAATGTTTGAAGAACTTTCTTTCTTTTTTTTTGTCTTTTATTAAATAATAATTAAATAGTTAGGTTTTATTCAAAGTTTGACATAGACTAAGAGTGAGCTAACAATGTGTGTGTATATGTGAGAGGATAAATGTAAGTGAGAGGAAACGTTGGCATAAATAAAAAATTAATTTTTTTTTTATAAAAGAAGGCGTCCTGAATATTTATCACCCGTGAGATGATATAGTTTAAGAAATTCAATAAAATTGATACATCATATTTTTTTTTTATATTCACAACTTCGAGCCGAATTGGACGAATATTTGATTATATCGGACATCTTAAAAGTAAAACAAGAGTGACAATCTTCAATTCTGAGCCCAAAATCTTTCTTAACGCAATGAAAATATTTTTATTTCTTATAGAAATTAGGCCATTATTCACTAACATTTTATTTATTAGCGATTTTATCAAGACGTTTCGACCATCACTAGGGCCATTTTACAGTCTTACTTAGTCCTTCATTAGATATTCATTATTACAGATTCCATTGGATATTCATCCCTCTAGAAATGGTGTTGTGGAAACTCTCAGATAGCAGGACAATTTAATTTTTCACTGAACAAATTAATACGACATTAATAATGAATATCTAATCGAGGACTAAATAAGACTTGAAAATGGCCCTAGAGATGGTCGAAAAGTCGTAATGAAATAGCTAATAAATACAATTTTGGTGAATAATGGCCTAATTTTTATAAAAAATAAAACATCAAGACACAGATTTTAGGAATAATGAACAGAAGAAAATATTTTTATCATTCTGGGACTGTTGTCCCTTAGGAACAAAGTATAAATACTGAAAAAATGCCTGTGTGGCCATTTTTAAATTAAATATTTACAAAATAATATCTAATCAGAAATAAAAATATAGGAAGAAAAAAGAACAAAACAACAGCATACGTATATATATAGTAAACTAAGGGAAAAAATAATATAAGTAAACAACATGGTTTGTCGAAGAACTTAAGTTCTTTTATGTACATTTCGTGATCAGTCGGATTGGGAAAAGTGTAAGTGTAAGTGTGCAAAAAAAAGGAGAGATTTAATTGTGGAAACTTCAGGACAGAATTCCAAAAGATGACTAATTGAATTTCAAAGAATTTGTCAAACGCATCTATTCGGTGAGGAGAAGAATAGAGGTCAGAAGTACGGGATCTGGTGGGACGAGATTTACTGGAGGATTTGAATTGTAGGCTATGAAGAACATTAGAGGGTAGCTGACTTCCAATGGCCTGGTATAGAAAGGTAGCAAGGAAGTACTGGCGGCGGTAGAATGGATAGAGCAACTTCAACTCAGCGTAATACTCGGTAATATGCGTATTTCTTGAGATCCCAAAGATGAAGCGTATCGAGCGATTCATTAGGATTTTAATTTTAGCTTCGACTTCACCCGATAGTCCACCGTATATCATGCAACCATAGTAGATGTTGGGGAAAACAAGAAAGAAAACCAGGGGTTGACGGGTTTTATTTTAAGGTAGTAATAGTACGACGGGAAATTTGGGAGATGTGTGTTTTCCAGGAGAGGGTTTGATAAAAAATAACACCGTAGTTTTAACGGAAGTTTGGAACGAAATAGGTGAGTTGTTTAGGAGAAAAATGGGAGGTACAGGATTGGATTTTACGAGTGTGGGAGATCCGATAAGGATAGCTTTCGTCTTCTCGGCGTTTAGGGTAAGCCTATTGCGTTTGCCAAAGCACAGATTCTATCCATATCTTCCTGAAGGTATTTGATTGCTGCAATGGGAATAAGCCGGATTGAAGGAAAAGTAAAATTGGACAAAATTAATTGAATAAATTAAATTTCGCTTTCTACCTTCGGCTGTGAGGAAGGAAAATATATTAAATAAAAAAAGACGACTTAATTATCAATTTAATTGAACTTATATAAATAATTATAAGGAATATAAAGTCAATAATGTTAAAAAAAAATGTTTAGAAAATATTTCAGCCAAGTGAAGGAAAGTCCATTTCCAAGGTAAGGGAACCCCTCAGAACTCTCCCTATCTCAAAAATTCACTATCGCAGGGTCAGGATATAAAACTCGCTGTTAAAAAGTAATGGCTTACACAGATCAAGCCCAGCTTCGAATATACCTTCGCTTTTCAGGAAATAACATTCTAGAATAAATATTCAAACTTAATATTTCTATGAGATTAGTATATATATACTTAGTTTGGAAAAACGTAACAAACCGACTAGGTAAAACAAAAAAACGGAGTTTTTTATTGTCTCTAGCCATTTTGGTAAATTTACTGTAATAAACAAATTTGAAAATTAAACATTATTAATAGTAGGGTCAGGGGTATTTAAAAATTAAAATACAAACCTTTCTCCACAGTGAGTTTTCTCAAAGGTGGGGAAAATTCGAGTAAAATTAAAGGACGAAAACGAAGGGAATATTAAAAAAAAATATATATTCAATGAATAAATATGGAAAGATACAAAAATAAAGAAAAAAATCCCCTTCTGAATTATAATATTTATTATGGTAGAAAAAATACATATACAAAATGTTGAAAATAAAACAAAATGAAAGAGTATTGAAATAAATCCAAACATAAATACAATATTCAGTGCAAATAAAAGCAAATTAACCGTTAAAAATAAAATCAACTTCTAAAATTATAGATAAAAACAAGACAAAAAAAACTGTCCAATAAGAATGAAACTAATTTATAGGGAAAACAAAATTAAATTAATGTTTAAATGTCTCATGGTAATGGTGAGAATTAAAACAATCCAAGTTAGAGGCTCCACTTTCAACGTGGTCACCTTGGTGTTCAACTAACGTCAAGTAGTCGATGGTGGGGAGTATCGAGTCGATGGGCTTATCGATCTCGATCGATGACCGCCCATGCCGATGCACAGCTGTTTTTACAACAGCGCTATGTGAGGTGAGACAGAAGCGGTTGGCGGGGTGAAGGGTAGTGACAACCAAATAAATAGACCCTGCGCCTATGAAAGCTCGATCCTGACTGACTTCCCGGCAGTCTTATCGCAGCATTTGTGTCTTAATTCTTAAGACTCGGTATTATTGCCGGGTTGGTGTGTGTATAAAAATGCGATAATACGTTACAAATGAAGCTATATATATATATATATATATATATATATATATATAATATACACTGAGATATATTTTAGGGACACTTTCCCTCAGTTTTTTACCAAAAAAATAAATAAACATTTATTCCATGAACATTCAAAAAGGTTAATTTGGTGAGAAAAAATAATAATAATAATAATAAATTAAGATATGAGTGTATGCGGCGTTAACAATTAACAAGAAATTAGACTATATTATTCTAACTCCAAATTGATATACTGGTATTATTTGCTTGTTTATCAATAAGTATTTTGTACAGTTAGCTTTCAAAGAGTTTAGAACAGATAGGAAGTAAGCTATCGGTGTGAATAAGGTAAGTTTTTGGCTTTGATAGTCTTATAGATCAATGTTATATATAAATATTTTCATTGTAGTGGGAATTCAGTAGTCCTCATTATTGCATTACAAATAGTTGTCAGAAGCACTACAGCTTCCCTAGGCATTCGTTCAGTGTTAATCAAATGCTTCTTAATCAACGGTTGTACAAGATGATTAGACCGAGATCACGCTCAACCACGAGGTTTCACCCTTAATTAATTATTTAATTAAGGAAACCCACTTTATAGAGGGTGTAAGTGTCCCAGGAAGATCTAATGACCTCCGAGTCACAACACAACTCATGAAACAAAATAAATATTTTTTCTCTTACGAGTCAAGAATCTAACCTGAGATCTTGAGCTTATATCAATACATAATTAAAGTAAATGTTTTATTTAAGTGTCATCAATTATAATATTGAAAAAAAAATAACATAAACACCAATGGATGTAGAAGAAATTAATTTGACTTAGACCAGTTACCTCACGTCTCCAATTTACTTAAATATATTTTTTTGCTTTATAATATAGCTATAAAGTTGTACATTTTGCTACAATATTAATTGTTTTACCTAAGTAAAGAATATATAAAAAATTATTTTACGATTTAATTTTATAATATTTTATATTGCACTTAATATTTATTTTACCCTCGTTAAAATATAAAAGCATATATTTTTTAATCACATATAAATATACTCATTATAATGACATGCCCATAAGGAAATGTGGCTTACTCTTGACATTACATGTAATTATTAAATGCTTTGAGCAATACGATTTGCTGCCTAATACGAGCGTGTTTTAATTTGTTTTATAATTAAAATTGAATTTTAAATAAATTGTTTTAAATAAAATAACATCGTATTATATTCATGTGTGACTGTTTTCCGCGTCGACGTCATTAAAAAATATACCAGAAAGAAAATATTTTAATACACATAAAAAACACAATTTATATTTAATAAATGCTTTAAAAATTGTTTCTCGGCCTTTTGAAACAAAAAATAATATATATATATATATATATATATATATATATATATATATATATATATATATATATATATATATATATATATATATCTTTTAAATTGAATTATCGATCTGCACCTTACGAATTAACTCTTCCTGGCTTTAGTTGATTACCATGTTGTATTAAGCAATTAATAATTAATATATCATTAGAGCATGAAAAAAAAAATTACTCACGTTTCATTCTGTCTCCTTTTGTTGAGTAGTTGACGTCATAGTGAATGTCGGTAATGTGCCAAAAGTAACCTGAAAAAGAAAAAAAACATATTTAATTATACATAGATGAAAAGCTTCCGAGGGGTAGATCAAAGCGAAGATAGGAAGATTATGTTAAGGGTGATCTAGAGGGTTGGGTTTAGACGGAGTCTGATGGATGGAAGAATGTAGATATCGGTTGGTAGTATCGGCATCGAACCTTCGGGTTCGCTAAGCCTTATTATTATTATAATTATTAAAAGGTAACAATAATGTATTAAGGAGGAATTAAATTTTTTTTTAAATATAAAAGAAAATAAATTATACAGACATGAAGATTTTAAGTCAAGAGTTTTTGAAAGTTTAAAACATACGAGTTGATTCAGGTATCATTTCACATAAGGCATATTGTTGTGATGAAAAAGTGTACTATCAATGTCTTGGTAACTTTGGTAGTGCAGTAACGCTATAGTTACTTAGAATGGTCATAAGATTATTTTTTAACGCTTGAGATATAAAACATAGTATTCTATGGTACAGACCACTTTAAATTATTAACATCCGCCTGACACTTCGTTAATAGTTTCGTCTCATCGTAACCTACAAATATTTTATTCACGAAAATTCTCGAAATATGGACGTTTTCAATCTGGAGGTCGGAAAACTTTGTCTACTTAATTAAGTTGTAAAAACTCTAAAATACCCGTTTGGTTTCCACTTAATCGTAAGATAACCTTAGCACAAAGTCGAGAAAAAAAGCAGCCTTAAAAAAAATTTAGCCGATCGGCGTGATCTATACCCCAAACTTGTCAAAATAACGAGGTTATATAGGCTAAACGGTCCAATATTTTTGTAGGTCACTTTTTTTCTCGGTTTTGTGGTCAAATTATCTTACGAAGTGGAAAGAAAGTGGGTGTTTACGAGTTTTTAGCATCTAATTAAATAGACAAAGTTTGCTGACCTTCAAATTGATAACACTCCAATTTCCAGAATTTTCATAAATAAAATAGTTGTAGATTACGATGAGATGAAGCTACTTACGAATTTTCAGGCAGATATAATTAATTTGATAAAAAAGGGTCTATACTATTAAGAACTAACAATATTTTCTAGCTTACCAATAGTAGTAAGTTTTTTTTTTCTCCCTTTGATTTATATACAATATATATGGTGAGAATGTGTTCAAATATCACTATAGTTATTGAACACGTGACAGATTTCAAATAAATAAAATAAAAGAAATTGTTTTATAATGAATGAATTAATAAGTTTAAGAGGCTTTAGCCATTATTAATTCAATTTAGACTTTTAATAATTTAATGTTCCTTTGGCTTTTAGTATTTCATCTTGTTTTAATAATATGCGTTAATACTTTTATAGGCTTTCTGTTTTATATAGTTCTTTTTTGTATAGTCATGGTGAAGAGTTTATTTTTTAATTTACATTTTTTTTGTTTAACATGTGTTGATGATCTTTGGCCATCTTAAATAGCCTTTTCTGCATCTAATTATTTAGACTATTCTTTTTGTCAAGTTTTCTGTATTTAGTTAGGTAGCATTTTTGTCAATTTGGACTAGCCATCTGATTTTTTCGTTTGGACTTAGTTAAGTTGGTCCTATCTAAAAAATTACAGTAATATCTCTATAGTAATAAGCTAATGGGTAACTGCAAGACTGTTTGCGAGACTCTTGGGCAAGACCAAGACCATGACCAAGACTAAGTTTGCAAGATAAAAATTGTCTCGGTCTCGTTTGGCAACACTAGGCACAGTAGTGTCCGCAAGCTCTAGGTTGGCGACCTCTACTTTATAGTGACGTTCACATAAATCGATCGATATTAGGTTTATTAATCTATTTTTGGTATACCTATGCCGATGACACGTGTATCATATCAGTTAATAAAGATCCATCTATTGCATATCAAACTCTTCAATCACACATCACAAGTCTTGCAAACTGGTGTCAAAACTGGAGGATTAAAATAAATTCCAATAAATCACATCAAATTACCTTCACTCTTCGTCGTAAACCTATGACTTCCTGTCCTATAATATCCTTCAACAGTAGACCTCTTATCCCTTTCGAACAAATCCGATACTTTAGGACTCCACCTTGATAAACGACTCACTTGGAACCCCTATACCAGACTGAAACGACTAGAAACTGCCCGACGTTTCCGACTACTTCAGCACTTACTAGACAAACGCTCTAAGCTTTCAATCAATTACAAAAGACTTATATATATGACAATAATAAGACCTATTAGGACTAATAGGCTCCACTAAACCATCGAATTCCTCTCGTAGCCAATCCTTACAATCGAAAATCCTTCGTAAAGTCCTCAACGCTCATAACTTTGTCACAAATAAAATCATCCATAAAGAAGTTAATGTTCCATATGATTCCGATTTGGCCCAATCCAGAGGCCTATCCTTCCATAACAAACTGCAGAACCATCCGAATCCTCTCGTTTCAAACCTTGCTTTCTCCTCGATCTCTGATAACCCTCCGAGGCCTCTGAAAATAAGATGGCCTCGGGATCTTCTAATACAGCACTTTAATTTGAGTTCTACCAATGGGTTGTTTCTCTTTATGTTGTACATGTCATGTTACCAATGTCACATTTACTTATTGTATTTTTTATGTAATACAGTTGTAAATTTCATTAAAATAAAAAAAAATTGGTATTAAAGTATTTTGGTAAATAATATTCACTATAAGAAAAACCAATTGGTATAAGCCAAGAGATGGATCGATAGTCCGGAGGGGTGCGGTAAGGTAGGGTTGATATCGGATATGTTGGCTTGTCCCCGCAGCGGGTTTAATGAATGTCTCGTCACCCGCATTACATGTTGACAGTTTTTAATTACGGTCTCTTCCTTCTTCAGGAGCCTTGTCAGCTGCAGCAGCTAACTTTATATCACCCACTTAGCAAGTCAAATTAACGAGACCGCGCCCCCCTCCCCGGGAGAATATTCTAATCTTTTTCTTTCCGCGGACTCTTCTATCTGTCTTGTTAGGTCAGTCGATATTCCCTCTTGGCTATAATGAAATAACCCCCTCCCTTCTCCGACCCCCTCATACCCTTCAAGGGAATTAAAAGGCTTAACTCGTTAAATTTCTATAATTTTCGGGAGACCGTCCGATTGACGTTTGTCCAGATTATGAAGTTAAAGATATTGGATAAAAGCTCCGAAAAAAGGGTTCTCTCATTTTATTTAAGAACGCTTTCTCAAAAATATTTATAAAAAAATATGGCACGTTGCGCACACAACACAACTTATTTTCCTTACACTTACGTCTTTTATGAAGGATTAACATAAATTCTAATAAATCCCGTCAAATCAACATTACGCTTCGACGTAAACCTATCCTGTATAGTGTTGCCTAAATGCGAGACCGAAACGAGTCTTGGTCTAGCAAACTCAGACTTGTTCAAGAGTCTTATGAGCTCATTACTATAGAGATATTACAATAATTTTTTAAGTAGGAGAAACCTAAGTAAGCCCGAATGAAAAATTAGCAGAGTCAAATGCAAAAGTATATTGATTATATCAATTCTTTACATATAGTAAACTAAGATTGTCATGTGTTAGTAACTATTTTGCCTTAATTTTTATTCAAAAAATCGATTTTTTTTATCTTGCAACAGTTAGGCGGCCTTGGTCTTGGTCTTGAAAAGTATCTTTTAATAACTCTCCATTTTTTCTGTTGAACACATTCACTAACTAGGACTCTACCAGAACAAACTTCGAACTTGGAATCCTGCTACAAGACTGCTAGACAAGAAACCGCTCAACTCGAAGCGGCTACTTAAGCACTTACTAGACAGAAGCTCTAAGGTTCCATTTAATGACAAATAATTCATATACATGGTTATAATAACGCCTCTTTGGATATAAACGTTTGACTATTGGGGTTATACTAAAGCATCAATTCCTCTCGTATCCAATCCTTAAAATACAAAATCCTTAGTGCTCCTTGCTTTATTAAAAATAAAATCATTCACCTTAATATTTCATATGTTTTCGATTTTCCAACATCCAGATACCTATCTTTTCATAAACTTCAGAACCATCCGAATCCTCTTGTTTCTCACCATGCTTCCTCCTAGATCTCTGATAACTCTATTATTTTTTAGAGCGTCTGAAAAGAAGATGGCCTCGTGATCTCCTAATTTAGAAACCTTATTAGAGTGCTACCAATGGGTAGATTCTCTACAAGACTTTTCATGTCATGTATCCTATCCTTCCATAAACTTCAGAACTATCCGAATCCTCTATTTTCTAACCTCGCTTTTTCATCAATGTACTGATGTAAATTTAATTTTAGAGTGTTACCAATGAGTAGATTCCCTACAAGTATTTTCATGTCATTGTATATCTCTGAATTATAATTAAAAAAAAAACTCAATAAATAAAACTCTACATACTGATCTCCACCTGCCTACAGTTGACAAACAAATCCTTTACCAACGATTTATACAAATTTAAATGAACATACAAAAAATTGATAAGAGACATATCCACAGCTGAGGAGCATATGAGGAGGAGACTAAAAAGAAGATGGATGAGAGATCACAATTTTTAAACCACCAAAGCAATTGAATCAAGTAAGGGAAGAGTTACTGCTGGGTAATATTCTCCCTCAGACCTCAAATGTCATTTTTTCTGTATTTTCACCAAATTTTCTGATTATCAACATAAAGTTGGCAGGTGGAAATTAATATATAAAGTCAAAAGAGATTTCCTTCCTCAAACAACTCAAGTTATATCAAAGTAAAAAAAAAAATATTTTCTTTATGACAACGTTTCACCTAAAGTCATAGGCCTTCATCAGAACTTTAAGAATGAGAAAGAAAACATATTAACAAGACAATATAATAATAAATATATCTAAAAAAAAACGTATGTAAGCAAACTCCAATCAAATTCCCTACAGTTGACCATATATTCTTCATAATTAATATAATGATAAGATAAGAATATATAAATGAATGATATATAATATTTGTCAGACATGAATACAATAATAGATGAAGTAGCTATGTCAAA